AAAAAAAAACATATGTACCTAGAGTACTGCATGACCTAGGGGGAGCCCTACCTCAAACCTGAGAAGCTCACCTTCCAGTAGAAAAGATTATACATGTAAGAATAGAAATTATTCTACAATATAGCACTTTACTATGTATCTTTAGGAACCCAGGCCAACAAAAAAGACCAGCTCTGCCTATCGGAATCAGGGATGAATGTGTGCATGATGGGGCATGTCAGCTGAGACTCAAAGGATGAGCAGAAGTGGACTGGGTTAAAAAGAAAGAGAGAGAGAATCGGGTAAGAGTAGACAAAATTTAGGTGTTGTGAGAAGGGAATTACAAGAGTATGATGAGATGCCTAGTAAGGGTGAAACGGAGGCTCCTGAGGTACACGGGAAGGTTAATGAAACATACTGTCGGGTCACACAACAGAGACTCTCTAGGATGGAGCCAGGAAATTTATGTTTTTAAATATTATTTCTAGTTAGTCCAACACCATTCGTGGGAACTTCTGGGAAACAACATAGAATGGTGGGGTTTCATACTATATGAAGAGATCACCTGCTTCTACACAAGTATTCATTACACTAAGGTTCATATCTTGGTCATATAAGAAATCTTTTTATATGTTTGAAAACTAAACTTTTTCAAACATTTTACATGTCCCAATGTTTCACCTGTACTTGGTACTGTAGAAAAAAATATTAAAACAATGAATTTATGAACCAAAACATACATTGATTCATACATAAGGATTTTCCTGTTTTTTTCTCCTTCCTATTCCTCATCCAATTCTTAAGGCTTAAATAAAAAATATGCTTTCAATGAGCAAAGTTGTAAGCAAAACTAAAATTGTGTTCCTAAAGAGAAAACTATGAAATATTTTGTAAGTGGCAAACATCATGCATACATAAACAGGAAAAAAACATATTTTATAAATCTAAATATATAGTTGTGACAGGGAAGGGGAAAACACCAGAATTATTGCTATTTTCATCATAAAACTGATTGAAAAGAAAAACAATGCATTTGACAGAGCCATGCCTCAGTCTTATATGCCATCTTGATCCTTAATAGGGTGTTTATGATAGCCAAGCCTTTATGACAGACCATCTCAGTGACCTAATCATCCTTATCCCTGAAATAATGTGCTAAAAATCCTCCAAATGCAGTTTTCTGCTTTCATCCTTATAATTGTATGGTTGAGAAAGAGAAGAATTTTAGTAAGAATTATGCTAACATCAAGACAAAATTTTGAGATGTTTACACGTGCTTTAACAAATGAATAGTCTAGACTGAGATTTCATGGACAATATGCTTAAGAAGGAAAAGTAAATTACAGATGAAAAAGGAAACACATTTCAAGAAAAAATAACTGATTTTAATGACTGTTCGCTCCTCCTCTTTTTATATAGGCTTTAAGATCATCAAATGTCCTACTAAATTACTGAGTTATAAGAACTACATCGATAATCAGAGTGCTTGGTGTTTCTTTCCAACACCTTGAGGGAAGGAGCCTATTCCACATGTATTATCTCCAATACTACTTGCCACAGCCAGGGGCACAAAGCAGGCCCTCAATAACCATATGGCATCACACTGTTGTTATTAGAACATACGGAAGGCAAATGCATTTAGTTACTTTTACTCTTCATTCATTCCAACCCCACTGTTTACCTTGCCCCTCTGTTTTCGTTGGAATTTATGTTTGGTAACATTTGTTCTGGTTGCAAATTTTCCATGTTCTACTTTAACATACATTTAATTGCTGTGTAGTTTGATGATGCTTATTCTCAAAGATTTCCCTGAATTTTCAGAAAGAGCAATGAATAACAACTTACCAGTTGTGAAGAGAAGTTTTCTAGGATCCTGAGAAAAAGGGGAAAAAAAATTGACTGAAAAACAAAACATTGATAATGTAAAATTCTACAAGGAATCTGCTGGCTATGATCCATTAGGCATTTACGATACTATTCTCTCAGTGGAAATGAGAAATTCAATCAAGATTCATAAAGTTTTCATGCAACACAGGTTCTGGAATAAGGATATTTGGGCTGGAGTCCTGCCTCTGTCACTCACTAGCAAGTTTCAGACCTTCCCTAATTCAGTTTCTCAGCTGAAAAATTAAAAATATCTATCCAGGGGTGCCTGGGTGGCTCAGTTGGTTAAGCATCTGCCTTCAGCTCAGGTCATGATCTCAGGGTCCTGGGACCGAGCCCCCCCACGTCCAGTCCCGCATTGGGTTCCACGCTCAGTGGGGAGTCTTCTTCTCCCTTTCCCTCTGTCCTCCCCCCTACTTATTCACGCACACACTCTCTCTCTCTCTCAAATAAAAAATTAAATCTTTTAAAACAATCTAACACAAAGAATACTGTCCTTCTGAGAAAGAAAGAGCACTGGATACAGAGTCAGAAAATGTAGACTTTCATCCTAATGGCTAATTACAAGCTAGCAGTAGTGGCCTGAAGCCCACTCTTTGACCAACTGAGACTCAATATCTTTGACTATAATGTGGAAATATTAATATATACTTTGTCCACCATAATTGCCAAACTGCACCTACAAGATGTGGAGACAGAATCAAAGGTGATAAAATATGTAGGGAGGGTTGTTGCTGTAAATTCAATGCAAAGAATACTAATTGAATACTTATAATGTTTCAAATACCATGCAAAGTAGTGATGATACTCAAATAAAAAGGACAGGTTCTTATTAGTCAGAATTGTAAAAAGTAATATTGTTAGTGTAATCTGTCCTTTACACTACATCTCTCGTGGTGAAATGGACCTTAGGCAACTCCCTTTCTATCTTCTGGAAAACTGAGGTCAATCCCCAGGAGATTTTTGGATTTGTTTTTCATCTTACTGGTGCTTAGTATTGCACAATTCTGGAAATTCTTTCTTAGGCCTCCATTGACTTTGGAGACAGGCCACCCTATATCCAAAGTGGGAAGCCATTCATATGAAATAATTTCAGAAACCTTGAATAAGGGCCACTTGCCCAGCAATAGCTCCTCATCCCACTGGGGCCAGATGACTTCTACCTCTGCCATTAGGAACGCAGCTCAAGGATGACCTAGAGGAACCTAGTATATAAACAACTAGTGAAAATACAAGACCAGCTGAACAAAGTGGTAATACCAGAAATATGAACAAATAGCTGTGGGAACTCAGAAGATGGAACAATTCCTACTGCCAGGGAATGGAGATGGAATGTGAGGGTAAGAGACAGTTTTGCAGATGACAGGATGAGGCAGATTCAGCTAGGTCATCAAGAACGTGCCACCCAGGAGCTGGAGGGTGGGTCACCCTAAATCTAGAGAAGACAGAGTACAAAACACAGGACAACAGGGTGCATGGCACAAATCGGTCTTTCTCAAAGACAACTCATGGAAGATTATGTGTTTATGCATGCAGTGTGTATGTGTTTTCATCCTCCTCTAGCACACTTGTCTGACGCCTATGAGGGGCTCAAAAATATTTATTAAAATAAAGAAGAGAGGGAGGAAAAAAGAAAGAAGGAAGGAAACAAAGAAAGGGGAAATACAAATTAAAACAATGAGTTACCATTTTTCATCTGTCAGATAGGCAAAAATTAAAGAAAAACAAAAACAACTGAGGGGCAGATATAAGCATTCTGACAAACTTGGTAGAAGTGGGTCAACCAGTGAAGCCTTTTTGGAAGGCAACTTGGCAACGTCCATCAAAACTAAAAATGTACATACCTTTGAAACTAAATTCTACTTCTAGGAATCTGCCTAGTGGAAGCATATAAAAAATTAATTCATTGGAGTGTGGTTCATAACAGAAACTCAAAACAATCTAAACATTTGTGAATAAGGAAAGGGCTAAAAATAAACTACTGCACATTAATATTAAGAGAATGATAGATCTATACTTTCTGATACAGCAAGCTACAGTCCATGTAATTATGGAAATAAGAAAATTGCTGAGGAACAGGTTTCATAAAATGCCTCTCAAAATATAAGAGAACAGAAAGTTATTAACTGCGGCTACTTTTGGAGGAGAAGGTTTCACTTTTAAACTTTTGAGGGTTTTAAAATATTTTATTTGGGGCACACATCCTTCATAAAATGAAAGAAAATAACTAAAAACCTAAAATGATTAAAATTCTGGAATATTTTACAATATTCCAAGTATACAACATTAAAATGAGAGAACCATTTTAGTTCTTAAAGACCCAAGATGACAAAAACAAAAGAGAGATGCAAAGAAGGAAAGATAAAGAGGAATGTGTGTAGCAGATGTAGGAAGCAAGGAAGCCCACGGCTGTGGGCTGAGGGGGTGAGAAGAATGGGGGGAGGCAGCGGGAGAAAGACATGGAGACAGACCCAGTCCTGGGTTCTGGAATCATTACATATGAAGAGCTTCTGGTGGCATGTGAAGGAGCTGGCTTTGTCAGTGGACCTTAATGCTGGGTGCTCACCCCAATTAGCTGGTGAATTTTCAAGAAATATCAATACCTGACCCCAACCCAGACCAGTTAAATCATATCAGCATTTTTAAGAATACTAGCATCTCGTCAAAGGACTTATCAAAGACTGCTTGCTATGTTGGTTTTGTGATTTGTTTCTGTGTTCGTTGTCAGTTTTCCCTTTGTTTTGTTTTGGGAAGGAGATCAAGCACATAATCATAGCAGTATTAATCTCGATAACTCCGGTGATAACGTGGAAGAGAAGATGGAGTTGGGGATGATGGGGGAACAATCTTACGAAGTCACTGCCAGACTTAGCAGAACAGGGCGGGGTGATCCAATTCCACACCCAGCAGTTTGATTTTGATGCAGTCTTGGAGTGAAGGAAAGGCAGACTGAGGACAGGATGAAGTCCTGAGCAACAGAGAGCTAATCAGGGCTGTATATGTGTTCATCGGGCTCTCGCCTAGCACCCTGCACATACAATTTCATCTCATGGGTGGCTTCCCATGGAGAAAAGCAGCCCTAAGTCAGACACTGCCTGCTACAAAACTGAACTCAAGGTCACCTATTTCAAGGATTAAAACAAAGCAGAGTAACCATTAAAACTCATAATATTTTTAAGTCAAATAAACAGATGATCCAGGATCCTCAAAGAGTCAACCTGTTTTTCTGCCCTTCCCGCCCCCCCAAGTGCAGTATCTGACTTATTAAAAAAAAACTTGTGCCCTGTAAAAACACTGGACAGTCTCCCCTGGATGGGAACCAGGCAACACTGCTGGGAGGCAGAAGGCCAGCCTGAGTGGCAGCCATCCTAATACTGCAGAATATAAAAAGTAGACACTCTCGAACTCCCATTTTCAGCAGGAGAGACTGTGAAACAGTAATTACCTATAGTTTCTATTGAAAAGGAACAAAACTCAACCTGACAACTGCATCTTAAAAGCACTCAAAAGGAGCAGCAAGGTACAAATTTTCCATGAAAATCACAGACCTTCATTAGTCAGCTCATGACAAGTGAAAGAATGAGAAGACAAAGACCACCCACCTCATCTCGGTATCTTGCTGCGTTCAGTTCAGCGAAATCCTCACTGTAGTTCACTGAGAAGTTGAGGGCATTCACCAGATGGGCAGCCACGTGCACACCTGCAGAATCACACGGGGCACAAATCAGTGGGATTTTCATATACACTCCATGAAGAGGACTCCTTTCCTCTCCCTAAGCTAACATAGGGTCAAACTTTGACAGCTACCTGAGTACTAAAATATTAAATTGCAAAGGGAAATTTTAAAGATATAACAAGTCTTGATTATAGAGAGCTGAGTATAAGAAATCATGTAAAGAAACTCAATTTTCAAAGGCTAGAATAAAATACCCCTAGCAAGTCAGGGTTAGGAAACAACACATGTGAGTGTGTGACAATATGCCCATGTATTTATTTATTTAAGCAGCTCCTAGATATTTGAGTTTTTCTACATTTTTCACCTCTCCTCTAGCTCCAAATCTATTATAGGCCTTGTATCTTTCACTGCCACTCAACCTAAAATATAGGCCCACTGAAAGACTTTTAGCCAGTTAAAATTTCTCACAGTCCATAAATTCAAGAAGGAATTTCCTAAATTTCCTAAACCCCATAGCAAAAGTCTTGGTAATCACTTCATTGGGATTAAAAATTCAGGAAAAAAATAATTACCATTTAATAATCTACCCACACTGGCACAGTAAACAGAGAGCTCAACCAAAGCGGAGCTCACACAGAAGGTGGAAGCATTAGGAAATTAATAGAGAGTTGAAGACAAATTCATTTTGGCACAGCTAGGAAAAAGGAAAATTATCTTGAGGAGGCTGGACACGGAAGGAGCAAATGAACTTGTACATTGGACGAGAATGTCTTCTCCCTTCCCAATCTCTTCTTGTAGGTGAAATAAGGTTCGGATTAACAGTACGTTACAATGTACTAGAAAAGATGACAGATAATTAATTGGAAATCTGGTTTTCTTGGCCACACTGCATGATTACCAACACCCCAGGTTAGCTCTTTGTAAAATGACAATGACAGAAAAAGGACACTCAATGAGATTAGTGACCTGAAACTGGTTAGTGAACCATTGCACTCTATACCAATACAGGGTGTGTAGTTATTCAACAGAAAACTAGTGTAGAAACTGGAAAACTTCATGGTTCTCTCCAACCTAGCACATGAGCTGTAGATACACCAAGAGTTCTGAAGGACTCACAAACACAAATAGAAGCGAGAGAAGGACTAGAATGCTAACTAATTTCAAGTTTGTTTAAAGGATTGATAAGCTCCTGCCAGAATCAAATTAGAGGAAGGAAAAAGGTCTAATAAAAAGTGGACAGAAGAAAGCAGCTCGGAAACAGATATCTGTAACCTACAATGGTAGAAATATTAGATTGGCAACAGACCTATTCATAGAGACCTGGCAGGCCAGAAAGGACTGGCATGATATATTCAGAGCAAAAAATGAGAAAAATATGCGGCCAAGAAAATTATATCCAGCTAGGCTGTCATTGAAAATAGAAGGAGAGATAAAAAGCTTCCAGGACAAACAAAAACTAAAAGAATTTGCAAACACAAAACCAGCCCTACAAGAAATATTCAAAGGGGTCCTCTAAGCAAAGAGAGAGCCTAAAAGTAACTTAGAACAGAAAGGAACACAGACAATATACAGTAACAGTCACCTTACAGGCAATACAATGACACTAAATTCATATCTTTCAATAGTTACCCTGAATGTAAATGGGCTAAATGCCCTAATCAAAAGACACAGGCTATCAGATTGGATAAAAAAACAAGACCTATCGATACACTGTCTGCAAGAGACTCATTTTAGACCCAAAGACACCCCCACATTGAAAGTGAGGGGGTGGAAAACCATTTACCATGCTAATGGACACCAAAAGAAAGCTGGGGTGGCAATCCTTATATCAGACAATTTAGATTTTAAAACAAAGACTATAATAAGAGATGAGGAAGGATACTATATTCTACTTAAAGGGTCTATCCAACAAGAAGATCTAACAATAGTAAATATCTATGCCACTAACATGGGAACAGCCAATTATAGAAGCCAATTAATAACAAAAGCAAAGAAACACATCAACAAAAATACAATAATAGTGAGGGATTTTAACACCCCCTCATTGAAATGGACAGATCATCTAAGCAAAAGATAACAAGGAAATAAAGACTATAAATGACACACTGCACCAAATGGACTTCACAGATAGATTCAGAACATTCCATCCCAATGCAACAGAATACACATTCTTCTCTAGTGCCCATGGAACATTCTCCAGAATAGATCACATCCTAGCTCACAAATCAGGTCTCAACCTGTACCAAAAGATTGGGATCATTCCCTGCATATTTTCAGAACACAATGCTTTGAAACTAGAACTCAATCACAAGAGGAAAGTCGGAAAGAACTCAA